GACTGAAGCTGGTATCTACTATAAGCCTTAAACATCAGTGATTTCCCTGATGAATACTCTGATGTCTGATAGCAATTTCTATGGGTCATAGCTCAGGTGTCGTAGAAAACTTCAGTAAAAGGGTAGGGCAATGAAATAGCAGTTGACATACAGACAGGTCCTCTTGTGGATGGTGTGTGGTGGGGTCAAGGTATTATAGTAAGATTTAACTTAGTGTTCGTTTATGTGACAGATGTTATTTTATTATATTATTACATATTGGTAAAAAATATACTTTTTAGTCTAAAATCATCCTTAACTTTGAAAGTAAGGAAAACCCTCTTAATCTAGACAAAGAATTAAACAGCAGAGCATTTTTTATAAATCCCTATTTACAATATGTTCAAGATGGGCAGTTATCTTTATGCTATTTGATAAAACCTCACTGACTGATAAGAATAAACTCAATACTTGACAAAATGCTACAACAATTAATAAAGCAGATAATTTGTAAGCACCTGGAGGAAAATAACTTGTAAATACTAGGCAACATGGGCTCATCAAAAACAAATCATGCTGAACTAACCTCATTTCTTTCACTGATAGGATAACAAGCTTAGTGGATAAAGGAAATGCTGTGGACATACTACGTCTTGATTTTAATAAAGAATTTGATACAGTTCCACATGACATTCTCATAAGAAAACTAGAGAAATTTTGATTAAATGCAATCACTGCTAAATAAATACAATGCTGGAGAGAAGAAAAAAAAGCAATAACAACAACAAAAAACCAACCCACAGAGCAATTATTAATGGTTCAATGTCAGGTTAGGAAGAAGTATCAAGTGTGGCCTACAGAGGTCTGCTCTGGGTCATAAGTCCAATTCTACTTAATATTTTCACTGTGTGCTCGGAAAACAAAGTAGAAAGCATGTTAATCAAAAAAGTAGAAGATATAAAATAAGAACAAGTTACATTTCATTGGATACTTATAATGCCACAAAGATTTTAAAACAAAACTGAAATCAGCACAAATTGCTGCAAAGGCTTTATCCACTCTGAATTGTCAGCAATGTCATAAGAAGGAAAACTGATTTTCCCTGGGTGGGTTTAGTTAGGATGGTTCATTTCCCCACATGAGACTCTTCCATACTACTCAAAAATATTTCACATACAAAATATGGGTTGATTTGGCAACTTAAAGGGCTTTTTGGGAAGGCATAATCTTTATGCTGGAGTAGATTTTGGAATGTAACCAGACTGGAATCTATTCCTTTCATTCTTATGCTTCTGAGAGTCTTCTCTGGGGCAGAATGCAAGGTACAGATGTGCTTGTTTTTCTGAACTAATGAATTTATAGTATATAATTAATGCTGCTAGGAATGGATATGGATTCCAAAAAATCATTGATTTCTTGACGATTGGTCAATTTTAATCTTTAGTTATGTCAAATTTAAATTGGTTTAGGTAAGAAAAATCATAGAAAAAAGTGAAAAAACCCCTAAACTGTCTGAAAACTTTGCAGACCAATGAATATTGTAAAGTAGTACACTGTATGTACTATAAGAAAGTTATTAGACAATTAACTGCTTCATACTGATCAAGCCGCAGAAAAAGTTTTGCATTTGGCTTACACTGAGAAAGAAAAAAGGAAAAAATCAGAGGGAAAACCAATTATTATCTAAAACTATATAAAGAAATACTAGCATGATGGGGACATTTATTCTTATTAATTGATAAAGATAAAATAAAAAGTAGTGGGCTAAATCAACAGGGAAAGATTAGAATAAATTTTAGACAAAATAGAACATACAAAGCTTCAATTATTATATTTACAATTAAAGGTATCACTTGCTTCAATTATATAAATTTATCAAATACATACAAGTTAGTTCTTTGGTTCTCCAACTCTTCAAATACATAAATTTGCTCCAATTACAATCACATTTTTAGTATTCAATTATATACATGCAACTCTACCAGCACCTCAATCTCCATGGTCTGGAATGGTGTCATAGGAAAGGATTTAGCCTATGGATATAGTGCAGGGTTGCAAAAAACACTAAATTTGTGAAAGGCCAACCGCAGTATGTTTTTATCAGTTCCATACACATTCAAAGGGCTGCACAGATACACAGGTGTTTTAAATATCAGACAGTAATTGCCCTCTGAGGAGCAGTAGGGATTTCAGAAGGTTTCTTTCCTGAACAAATACTGATAGGAGGTAGTGTGCTGTGCCACCTAAGCAGCAGATGTCTGAACAGACATGCTAGGGTAAGAAAGTAATAACATCATGCCTCTCTTACGGGATGGAGAATTAGAGCCCCATTGATATTAAGAGTCAATCATTTCTGAATTAACAAGTGATTTTTGGGTATTTCTGCTACAGGGCAAATGTTGGCACATGCAGGCCAGATAACACTCACTCATCTTCAGCTACCTAAGACATCTAAGACAGGTGCTTAAACCTTGCATTGTCATCTTACAGACAGTGTAGATCTTTGCAAACATTTTGTGAGGAAGACCGAGCAACAAGTCATAATTTTGCCCTGTTTTGCAAAGCAGATGAGGAGAGTGTAGACATTTTAATATTCACAGAATCCTTTCAACTATATTTTTTTAGAGCCAGAATTGGTGGATAGGGAAGAAAGAGAGAGCCAAGACCGTGAACATATGTACTTCTGTGCAGGTGATGAAGTGACAATATTATGATATTGGACAAGGGGTAATGGTTTTAAACTGAAAGAGGGGAGATTCAGATTAGATACTAGGAAGAAATTGTTTACTGTGAGGGTGGTGAGGCACTGGAACAGGTTGCCCAGAGAAGCTGTGGATGCCCCATCCCCAGAAGTGTTCAATACCAGACTGGATGGGGATTTGAGCAACTTGGTCTAGTGGGAGGTGTCCCTGCCTATGTCAGGAGAGTTAGAACTCAATGATTTTTAAGGTCCCTTTCAACCTAAACCATTCTATGAGTCTGTGTTTCTGAGCTAGGAAAGAAGTATGAGAGAAGATTAAATGCTCTATGAAAGACAGAGAAGCAGGCCTTCCAATGAAGAAAGGGCGAAAAAAGAGAAAAAGATCAAAGCAGGAATAGAAGGCAGTAAGGAAAGAATAAAGGGATAAAAGAAATAGTATATTAGAAATAAGGAAAAAGGGACTGGAAATAATGGAAAAATTGAAATGCTGCAAAGAAGCACAAATTTATTCATGTAGTTAAAAACTACATATAGTTCTGATAAGTTAGTGCTAAGTGCTGTTAAACTAGCAATGACTGTTTAATCACAGCTGCTTCTGCTATTTTGTTTTCACTGATGTTGTCTAGCATGGCTGGGATAGCCTTCATGTGAATCAGAGAGTTCTTTTGTCAAGTGGATGAGAAAACCACAGGCTGTCCTGGGAGCTTGCAGAAGATAAATATTTACACCAACATGTTCTAAAATCTCTTTTTGAAATAAACCTGTAAGCTGCACTAGATTCCTTCTGATGCTCCTCTCCATCAAATTTTATTAAAGTACTGGCCATTTGAGGAGATGCAGTACGACAACAGACAGATATATTAACAAGAAAAAGTTTCTGTCAGATACAAGACTTAAAATTCTACATAGCTATAAGCCAGAATTGCTAATACTAAAGAATTAGTCCAAAGTTCATTTATAAACAAACAAGCAAAACCTCCCAAACCTTCTAGTTTTGGAGAAAAACAGAATTTGTCTGTTTGAATATTGTTTTTTAAAGTAGACTGCTAGCAGGGCGCATCTTAATATAATTTTGTGTGACACATTTTTTCACTTTTTAAAGCGTGTTTTTCAGTAAGTCTACATTTACAGTTTACTTTTCGAGCTTTATTCACTTTAGTCATTAATTTTATTTTAAATTATTTAGCTCTGCAGCAATATGTCTTCAGAACCATCTTTTACCAGCTATATAAAGAGTGCAGGAAAGTTCCTCTCTGTTCTCAATCATACAGTTTTAGTAAGAGGAAGATGACAGTGTAATCTTCTAATGATAACTCATGTGGAAACATTTTCACAGTCTTAGAAGTGAACTGTCTTTGTTATGAAGTCAGTAAATGAGGAGATGTGCAGAAGTCAGATGTGAGTGAAGTAGTTCTGGGCTTTTCTGCAGAATTAGTTGTATTAATTTAAGTGAAAATCTTATCTTTTCTCCAGTGAGCTAATATAAGGATGGCTGCTTTTTCTGTGTGCGTGTGGTTTTATGCCATTAAAGGCTCGTTTCTTGTGCATACTCATTATTGGTTACAGATATAAAACAAAGCATACAGATATAAAACATTCATACAGCCAAAGGAAATGTGTGCAAGTATGTGTTACCTGCTACCACATCCTTGCTACAATACCCACTCTCATCAGATGCTGTATAGCAAAAGTGTTTCTCCCAAACAAAAATTACTTTGACAGTGCTGGCTGCCTAACATGAGAAAAGAAACTTTTTCAGCTTTAAAGCAAGACCAATTTATCTCATTTCCTTCTATCCAATGCCACATAATAACTAAATTCAGATTTCTTTTAAGCCAAATTTCCTGTGAGAAACTAGATTCACATACTTTTTCAAATTCTGTCTGAATGTTTGTCGTTGTATGCTTCCCACATCTTAGAGACTACACCAAAAAGGAAAAAAAAATAAGTAAGGAAAAAGATTACAGAAGAGAAGAGGAACTTTTGAAACAAAATTGAACAATGATCTTTACATATAGCCTTCCTACATCTCTCCCAGCGAATCCCATATGCCTCAAGAAAAGCTGGAAAATAATTTTCTGCGTATTCCTTAAATACCCAGGATGCAAATCTAGATGTTAGTGAAGTACTTAGAAAGTATGCTTCAGTACGTAGGTCTGAAGACTGGGCTCTAATGCCTTATCATCCTGTGAACTTAGCATGTGTGAAGCAGAACTCTTAAGCTCTTTCTAATGGTGAAAACACAACAGGAGAAAGTTCATTTCTCAGGTAACAAGGCATAGAATCATTTAAGGATTTCTAGGTCAGAATCAACACTTACCTGCTATCTGAAAGTCTTTTAGCTGCTTCTACATGTCAGTGAAGTAGCTATTCATGTCTCTGGGAGAAACTCTGATTGTTAATGAGCAGCTGAAGTTTCCCATTGGAACAATCCTATTCTTAGACACGTAGCAAAGGTCATCTTTATACTGGAAATATATATTCTAATACTAGTATGGCAAACTATGCTGGAAAGAAAAGACAAATAACAAATAAGAGTGTATTTAGAACTGCTGCAAATACACCTGAAAACATAAGGTTCAAGCTGTGGTCATTTGCCACAAATTGTATGACGGCTTCTGGTAGGTCTATGTGGAAAAAGTTGGTAAGTTTGGAGTTAGTTCTCAAACATTTAATCAATAGTGAATTAAATTATTTTCATTTTTTATAGTAAAATATGGTGATTGGGGGTGAAGTATTTGAGAGGAGGCTATTTATACATAAGATATTGCCAAAAATAATGAAGAACCCCAATTAAGTGAACTTGTATTTAGTCAGGACACCTTAAAAATGACCAGTCATGTCCTAATCAAATATATATGTTCTTCTCTCAAATTCAGAATTAATAAGCATGTCAAAAGCCTGACAGAAGTGAAGATACTATATGAAAAGCTGCAATATCAGGTTAAAAATTCAATAGGAGCGATAGGTCAGATTGTGCTAGCAAGTGGGTGTTACTATACCTTGAGGTACAGAGATATATCTGCTACATACAATCTCCTAGTTCTGAAGTTCACTGATGAGTTGATGTGCTCTTCATGTAGATTGTCAACTACCCAGCTGTTTTTTGAAATTAAAAGAATTGTAGCATCTGGATTTAGAGTAAATCCAAATGTATGAGAATACATTTGTTCTCCAGGCATACTCTGATGCGTCCACCCACACTATGTTGTCTTCCAATCCCTATTTTGATGTATTGTAGTGTAGCTATCTGTCTTTCTCAGGTACTTTGAACTGAAAAATCATGCACAAAAATAAAAATTGCATCTTAAGACCAGAACACGTGGACCAGAAGAAATCTTGACCAAGTTGTAATCCTTGTAAACACATGTATTTTTCTCTAAAGAGGACTAACGTTAAGCTATGTGGTCACAGTCCTCTCTGCAAATCCTGATTTGAGGCCCAAGGCTGTTTAATGGTATAGGTGTAGATAAAGTCAAAACAGGTAAAAAATTTAACTGTATCAACAAGAAACATTCCTTCTGATTTGAATATTTCTTGTCTAAATACAGAGAATATTGTAGGAAGGTTGCGTTATTAATCACCTGAATAGGATAGGTATATTGACTGGGACATGTTAAGGGAGATGAGAGAGATTACAATGGCAGAAAACTCAGTAATAATGAACAACTCAATTATGCCCATGAAGATTAGTAAAAAGTAATTCTGGGACATGTTCTAAAAACTAATTTTAGATGCTATAATGATTGCCCTTGGAGCAGCTATTTTTTATATAATTCTGAACAGAGCATAAGAACTTACTGAAATTTTTACTACTGAAGAGCCATTCTGAAATCTTGACTATAGTACATTTAAATTCCTCTTCTCTATAGGAATGAAAAAAAATATTACCCACATACACACATGTATACATATAAATGAGGGGAACTCTAGAAAAATGAGAAAGACTAAAAAAACTCCCAAGTAATTTAAAGGAGAATCTTAAAGGATTAAGTTGTTGAATGTGTAATGGAAATTCTGTAAAGTTTATGGTGATTAACAAAATGATGGCATAAATAAACAGAAGAATGAAGAAACTCTTCATATCAAAATCTTACTCTTAGAAAGTGGAATTTATAGCCATGTAAGGAAGATCTGAATATCATGAACTCTGAAAAGTAATGTAGGATCTAAGCTAAGACCCAAAAAAAAGGTTTAGATGACAAGCTTGTGAAAGGCATGAAAACTTGTAATAAACATTTTTTCTAACCTATCAGAGTCTGCAGAGCTGATAGATGATGGAGGTGTAATAGGAGAACTCAAAGAAGATAAGACCATAGTAGAAAAATTAAATGAGTTCTTCACATTGATACTCACCACCGAAGAGTTTACAAAGGTCCCCACAGTGGCTGTTTTCTTTGCGAAGGATGAACTGTAGGAACTATCTTAAATTAAAGTGTCAATAGAAGTTATTTTAGACCAAATAGATAAATGAATAGCAACAAATTGCCAAGACAAGATGATATACACCCAAGGGTTTTTAAATAACTCAAATATGACCTTGTCATTTGATCATAGATCTTACACTATTGTATATGTCAGCTTCTGTATGAGAAGAGAGGTTAGCAATTTTTATGCCCTTTTTTTAAAAGGATCCTTAGAGAAATTTGGTAGGGGAGATGTGAGGAAGATGAAGAAAACTAGGAAGTTGTATGTCTAATTCCTTAGAGGCAGATTGGTAGAATAATATTCATAGACACATAGTTAAATACAATAAAATGGGGAGGGATAAAAATAAATTTTGTAGAGAAAATTCTTTGGTTTTTTAATCTCTTAGAAAGAATAAATGAACATACAAGCAAGGGTGATCTGTATCTGGTTGATACACTGTGCCTGGATTTTCAGAAAACATCTGACAAGATCCTCTATAAAAGACCCTTAAATAAGCAAAACTGTGATGGATTATGAAAAGGAATCTCTACCTTTAGATTTATAAATACCTACAGGACAGGAGATTAATAAATATATAAAGGACAGAAAATAGTAGCAGGAATAAATAATCAGTTTTAGCAATGAGAGTCCCACTCTTTCTGAAAGGTTGCAAAAGCTCCTAAAAGTATGAACTGGGTGTTAAAGAGGCAGAGGCAACACATACAAAACTATGCACATGGAAAGAAGACAAACAGAAATGCTCACTTCCTATAAACAGTCAAAGGTTCTAAACTAGGCGTTGTTAATCCAGAAAAGGTAATTGCAGCTATTCTGGATACACCTATGGAAATGTTAGGTCAGTGTTGACTGACAATCAAACCAAAAATATCCTAAACAAGCACAAACTCCTAAGAATTATTGGGGAAGAAAAACAAAACATTAAACTCTCATACATAACAAAATAATTATCAAAGCTATTAGATGAAATTGTAAGGAAATAGGTTTAAAATAATAATTTATTTTTTTTTTATTTAGCATATGACTAAATATCAGAACTCATCATCACAGGATAGCTTGGATGTCAAAATTTTAAGTGAGTTCAAAAACTGATTAGACAAATAAACGGAAGCTTATGAGGGGATGTTAAACACTGAGATACAAGCTCTAGATACAAGCCATTAGACACATAAAGCTGGAAAAGTATCCAGAGGAGTACACCACACTATGTTTGCTCTATTTTTACATAATTTTAAACATTTTATTATTACCTTAAGTAGCCATCTTCTGTCACTGGATTTGGACCTCTGATTGAATACAGAAGAGCCACTGTTCTCCAATATTCTGCTTCTGTGACACCAAAATGTTAAAAAATGGTCATTTTTTCAACATGTGGAGTCAGCTGTTCAGGAAGCGTAAATCAGTATTGTATTGAAGAAGTCAGTGTGTTACCTTGGTTTAAGCCCAACATGACTTGACCGAAGTTCTTTATTTGAGGCATTTACTTTTCTACAGCAAAGCTTTTGATTTGGACTTCAGACAGTAAGAAGATGTACAGGTATAAATATTAATACAGATTTCAATATTAATGTACATGTAAATAATATAAATAGAAACAAATTATAAGCATAAATATAAATATAAACATATATCTAATCAGTTCTTGTATGCTTCCCACCATGACTTAAACAAGTATATGAAGAACCTAAGGAATGATTCAATAATAATTATGAAACCACACACAACTCAGATAAACCATGTTTCTGCCCTGTAGGCATAGAATAACTGTGCATAAGCAGGTTTAGTGTTGATGCTTACAAATACTACATAGCAATAAGCCAATTACTACTACTACTTCTTAGGCCACTGAGCTAGGAAAAAATCAAGTTTTAACCAGAATTAAACAGAAAAATTTTAGAAACAATTACTTATTTTAGTTTTCTTGCCTGATGAAACCTATTTTAAAACTTTAGTTGCTGTAGGCAACGTAAGCACAATTAGAAGGTAAATGCAAGCTTAACACAATTAATAATGCCAACTAGGCAGAAATAAATACATCCTATTGGACGAAGTTTATCATGCATTTGTATGAGATGAGAAATCCTTTTTTTTTTTTTACTTTATGGAATTACAAATATTGAGGAAAATCTGAACTCTTTGTGATCCAGCTCATTTCCAAAACATTCTTGTCTGACAAAAAATGATAAAGTAATCTCAGACTGCTAGAGAAGAATGTCCCCAGAAGCATGATACAAGGTGGGCTCAGGGAAATGACCTGATAATAGGATGTTAATATTTATTTTTAGCAGCTTATTTTTTGCTTCTGAGAGAATTTCATGAACAGTGAAAGACTTCCAGTGAGTTTATAAGTTACAACTCTTCATACTAATCTCCACAGACTAGAAGTCTAAAGCAGCTTTCATTCTCTGGAGAAAAAAGAACCAGAAGTTCTGGCATGGGGCTCAGTTGGCTCAGTTAGTTTCATGTGTTGGGAGAAGAGTTTTATCCTTTCAGGAGGTATACTTAAGGGGAATATTTCAACCCTTCAAGGGGCATATGCAAGATAAGAACATTCCAGGGACCCGAACAGTACACAAACCTTGCTATGAATCACTTGTGCCCAATTCCAAACGTTGAAATGGTGAATAGGTTCTGAGTTATTCATATTTTGTTGCCGCAATACCTGTAGCTTCTGTTAATGGGATGCCCGTTTTTTCTGGATGGGAAAATCCATGTCTTTTCATACAAGGGATTTACTTTGTCATTTACGCATGTCATCTCCAACTGATTTATACTTACTAGAATGTCGTATTTTCATTTATACCAGTGAAACTGACCACTTTTTATAGAATTTAAAAGATCACAGCCAGGAAAACACCAGGAAGACTCTTCCAAAGTATTTCAAGGGATAGTAAAACACCTATCATATTCAAAATACTTGGATTTCTAACAGACTTGAATGCATTAAAAATCCCACTATTCAGATTTCACAACATGAAGAATTCCCACTAATGGATTTTTAGGACTGGCATGAAGACTAGCCTTAGTAGATACAAAATTTATCAACAAGTTATCTTGCAGGGCCAGACAAAAGAAACTGTTTCAGTCCCATGAACTTCCTATTAATTTCTGGCCATAGTTGAAGGTGGTAATGCTGACCTTTAAAGTTCTGTGTAATTTGAGTCCTGAATAGCTTAGACATCACTTCTGTTCGTGAACACAACTAAAAGAGTTGAAATCAGCAAGTTCATGCCTGGCAGCATATTTGTGAATCTAGGAAATGGTGTTAGGGCTTAGAGAATGACTATTGACCCAGGACTAAGGGCTGCTGATACTGAAATTTGGTTCTCCATTTGTACAACAACCACTGATTTTAGCTTTGAAGCACAGAGTAAGGCTATGTACTTTGCCTTAAGTTTTTCTAGTATAAACAAGAAAAACGTTTAACATTTCTGGGGGATCTGAGTTTCATTTTGTTAAAACTTCTTATGTATAACTTTCTTAAGCAGCAGTTGTGCCATTTTAATTCTAGGACAAGCAGATACAGAAACTTAATGTGCATTCATTTTAGGAAGAAAAAAACAGGTTGTCTACCAAAATACAGTAGGTGCAGAATAAGAACTTAAAAAAATATGTATTCTATTTGAGAAAAGCAGTGATAAACTGAGTTTCTTAGAGCCAATCTTCTATAAAGAAAATAATTTAAATCAGCATCTCTTTTAAAATACATCATCCATTTAAAAGCACTTAAATTGTGTATTTCATGAAGATGTTGTTCCCTCAAATACCAGAATATCAAGCTGCACAACATTTGTTTCATATGAACACAATTCTTGCCATTTCTTAGGCTGTGCAAAAAAGATAGAACAGTGTTGCTTTGCCAAAACAGCGCATTAAACTAAGGATGTTGAAATCACTGTTTTAGTTACATAGATTAAGAATGAATTGCTTATGGCATCAGTTATTGGGCAGCAGGTGTCAGAAAGCCATATAAATGTGCAAATGAAAATTGAGCTGCTTAGAGCTTCAGGAGAGGGTTGCAGAAGGTTATAAAGATATGGCTAGGCTTTAAATCTTAGACACCACCTTATAAGTGTCTCACAATTAAATTACACATCTCAGAATTATCTACGCTGAGAGCCTAGCAATAGGTGATTTCACATGATATAGCAGACCACTAATGCACAAAATACATGCACAATACAACCCGCAGCCTGAAAATCTACTGAGATGAGGCATTTAGTATTGCACTAGGAACATGCTGCATGAATCTAGCTGCAGCCAACAAGCTGAACTACACGTGTGATAAATAAATTACTGTAATTTCACTTTTAGGTAAGATTCAGGGCAGGGTGGGGAGGAGGTTAGAGGTGGAAAATCACAGGGCCCAGGAAAAGGTTGTGAGGAAAAATCTTCCCAGGCACAAATAGAGCATCAGTAAAAAGGCACCAGAAAGTGCTCTCTCTTAGTCTGATTGCATGAAAATCAGGCTGAACTGAGTACAGAGTATTTTTATTTACAGCACATATGTGTCATATGTCTCCCATTGGGATAAACTCGTATCTTGAGTCTCTTTTAGTCTGCCTCTCCTGTTTATTTCTGGGCTCATGTCAGTGGTGATGCTTCACTGCTCATCTGAGTGCCTCCATATGCCTATGAACAAGAAATCTTTCTTAAAACATTTAAAGTTCATTTCTCATTCTTTCTAGGAGGTATATCAAGTGTTCTGTAAACATAAAGATATGGTAGAGCTTAGAAATCAGAAGCACCAATGGCACTCTGGGATCTACAACTTTTTTTTTTTTTTTTTTTTTTTTTTTTTACCTTGTGTGATAATAGGACTTTGATTTGATTTCACATGCAGTTTTAGCCAGTTTGGCAATTCTGTTTTTCTTATAATTTGTTTTGAACTACAAACATAAAGGAGTAGTAATACCTTAAATTCATCCTAAAAAAACCAAAAACATTTCAGTTCTAGTTGAATAAAAATAAGAGACTTATGGGAGAAATTAGTTGAATCTTCCATTCTGTGATGTTGACAGTTTAAGAGTTTTCTCAGATTAGTGCTCTGCCAATGCCAAATGCATTAAGGAAAACTTCATTGTACAGGTTTATTTATTTATTTCATCTGTAGGGGAAAAAAAAATAAGAGCAGATGAGGATAAATCTGATTGTCCTTAAGGCATCTAATAATGTGCCCGAAGAACATCAAGGAAAATCTGAAGCATTAATAAACTAATGTGTACTGTACGCCCCACTTCATTTATTCAACTTATATGTTCTGTATGCATTATGCATTTGTGCATTTATTCACTTTGTACTCAAATATGATTAAGTAAAAGAAGTCTAAAATCTAGATCTTTCCTGTCTCAGAGGGTTATTTCTAGAGAAATGTAGTGGTGGTTAATTAATTATTTGCATATTTTGCTCTTTCTTTTCTAATAGGCTGCATGTGGCATGAAATTTATTTTTATTTTTTCAATGTCATGATGAAAAACATAGGTAACTGAGACCACTTGATCTCTCCTTACATGGTATAGATTTGGTTAGTCTTTCGTCTTCTGATGTGGAATGGAGGACAGGGAAGTAAATCTGTTATTTTATTGTATATTGACCTATTACAGAAGAAATAAGATTCTTGATTTAGAATCATAAAATAGTTTGGGTTGGAAGGGAACATTAAAAGTCATCTAGTCCAAACCCCCTGCAATGATCAGGGAAATATTCAACTAGATCAGGTTGCTTTGAGCCATGTCCAACCTGACCTTGAATGTTTCTAGGGATGGTGCATCTACCACCTCTCTTTTAAATGCACAAATGTATTTCTGTAATACATGAACACATGCATGCACTTGTACGTCTATAATTACTGACTCTCTTTTGTTATAATGCCTTCTTCCTGGTTAGGAATTACAGATGCTTCTGACCTAATGATTTTTGTCTTAGCTGATGGCACACCCGTTTATACACATGCAGGCACACACGAGTCTTCAGATTTCATTATTTCATATGGCTTTTAAGAAAATGAGACCTAAAATTTTCAAGCTGACAATAAACCATTTAATTTTTGTTAATTTTATGACATGTCTGGTTTCTGCATTTGCAGCAGCTGTAAAACATATGTTAACTTCCTAATAAAACCTAAGCAATGTTTTCTCTGTCACTTTTTTCTCCCCCCTTATTTTTTGCAGTGGGAAACAGTGCACAAGTTATTACCTAGGGAACAGTTGTTGCTGTCTCCTGTACAGATCCATATCATACTCAAATTTGCATTCTGATGGAGAAGTAACAAATGTTACTTAAATCCCATGAAGTGTGTTAATTACACTGAGCTCCATGAAATTATGGGT